ACCGGATCGCGGCTCCCGCTTGATACTTCCTCACAATGTATTGAAGAATCGCGTTCTCGCCTGGGACTTTCTCGCAACTTACCACCGAATCGCGGCTCCCGCCTGATACTTCTTCACAAGTTATTCAGATGCCGCTCCTCGACACTTAGGAACCGCGCTCCCGCTACATATTGCCTGGCAGTTCGAGCAGAATTGACGCTTCAACAACCCGCCCGCTCGTCCCGACCAGCCCGTTAGGGACTGCAGTCGCCGCTCGCTGCCCTTCGCCCGCCCTCGATGCCCCTCGCTGCCCGTACTGGTTCCGCGGTCGCCTTTGCTCGCTGCCCTTCGTGGCCCCGTTGCTGCCCTCAGTAGCCCCGTCGCTGCCCATTGTGGCCCCGCATTATATGCCCTGCGTGGCCCCCGCTCGCAGTCGCCCGTCGTGGCCCCATACGCATGCCCTTCGTAGCCCCGCTGTCGCCCTTCGTGGCCCTCTCGCTGCCCTTCGTGGCCTCTTTGCTGCCCTCAGTGGCCCCGCTGTCGCCCTTTGCGGTCCCATATACGTATGCCCTTCGTGGCCCCCGCTCGTTCGCGCCCGTCGTGGCTCCATGTGCATGCCCTTCGTGGCCCCGCTGTCGTCCTTCGTGGCCCCCTCTCTGCCCTTCGTGGCCGCGTGTCTGCCCTCAGCGGCCCCGTCGCTGCCCTCTGTGCCCCCGGATTAATTGCCTTTCGTGGCCCCCGCTCGTTCGCGCCCTTCGTGGTCCATACGCATGCGTTTCGTCGCCCCGCTGTCGCCATTAGTGGTCCCCTCGCTGCCCTTCGTGGCCCACTTTCTGCGCTCAGTGGCCCCGCTGTCGCCATTTCTGACCCCATTTACGTCTGCCCTTCGTGGCCCCCGCTCGTTCGCGCCCGTCGTGGCCCCATATGCATTCCTTTCGTGGCCCCGCTGTCGCTCTTCGTGGCCCCCTCGGTCCCCTTCGTGGCCCCGTTTCTGCCCTCAGCGGCTCTGTCGCTGCCCTCTGCGGCCCCCTATACGTATGCCCTTCGGGGCCCCCGCTCGTTCGCGCCCGTCGTGGCCCGCGCCAACAACGGCTCCCGCGTGCTACTTCCTTCCAATGTATTGAAGAATCGCGTTCTCGTGGTCGTCGTCGTCGTCGTGGTGAGCCCGCTGTCTGTCCATCTTGGGGTCGGGTTGCCGCGGGTCGGCGTGTGCATCGCCACCGCTGCCACTGGCCAGGCCGACGGTCCGCCGTTTGCCGGGGCCCGGTTTGCCGGCCTTTGAGACGCGCGTGCTCCTCTGGCCCAGGTTCTTCTGCAGTCTTCGAATGAAGGCCTCCCTCGACGAGGCCCCCGGGGCGTTCCCGCAGGTTTTCGGAGCCTCTGGAATTGCTCGGTTGTCATCGGGGCCATTCCGAGGCCCCCCAGAGGTCATAGGAGGCTTTCGGGCGCCTTCCAATCCCCCCGCGCCTTGTTTCCGCCAGTTTCCGCTCGCATCCACCCGCCCCCACTTTTCAACGTTCTTTCCCAGTTTTTTTTCCCGGAAGGGCGCGGGCCCAGGGTTCTCTTTTAGTAGGTTAACCTCCCGGCCCCCCTGCGACTTGGGCCGGCGAAATTATTTTGCGAGCGGGCACGCGCGGAGTAGGTCCGGCGAAATAATTCCCGGAAAGGGCGCGGGCCCAGGGTTCTCTTTTAGTAGGTTAACCCCCCGGCCCCCCTGCGACTTGGGCCGGCGAAATTATTTTTGAGGATGTCTCGAGCGAAACGCTTGTTTTTTCAGAATGTGTTGAGGATGTTTCGAGCGAAGCGCTGGTTTTGCAGAGTTGGGGATGTCTCGAGCGAAACGCGAGGTTTCAGAATTTGTTGAGGATGTCTCGAGCGAAACGCTGGTTTTGCAGAGCCGACCGCGACACGGAAAAGCGCCCCTCGCGCAGGAATTCTGAGGATGTCTCGCGCGTGCCGCGTCCCGCGCGCAGGAATGAATTTAGATTTCTTGGGATTTTGACAGGATGTCTCGAGCGAAACGTTTTTTTGTTTCTCCTAATTTGTTGAGGATGTCTCGAGCGAAACGCTGGTTTTGCAGAGCCGGCCGCGACGCGGAAAAGCGCCCCTCGCGCAGGAATTATGAGGATGTCTCGCGCGTGCCGCGTCCCGCGCGCAGGAATTTAGATTTCTTTGGATTTTGACAGGATGTCTCGAGCGAAACTTTTTTTTTTTTTTTTTTTTTTTTTTTTTTTTTTTATATTATATATATATATATATATATATATATTATATATATATATATATATATATATATATATATATTATTAAATATATAAAAAAGTTGAGGATGTCTCGAGCGAAACGCTGGTTTTGCAGAGTTGGGGGATTTCTCAAGCGAAACGCTTGCTTTTCAGAATTTGTTGAGGATGTCTCGAGCGAAACGCTGGTTTTGCAGAGTTGGGGTATCTAACATGGCGTCGGGCCCAACGCCGAATTATGAGGAAAAGTGATGGTTTCTTGCTCTGAACAGGGGGGTGCGCTTTCCAGGGCTGACGTTCTGAGGATGTCTCGAGCGGGAGCGCGAATTCAGCGTATCCAAGTCACGCAGAGGGGTATCGAACATGGCTGTCCCGAGGTGGACCACGTGTTTTTTCATGCCCAGGCCACCCAGGGAGATCTCTAACATGATTGTCCCGAGCTGGAACCACGTGTTTTACATGTCCAGGCCACCCAGGGGGTATCTCTCATGGTTGTCCCGAACTGGCACCGTGTTTTTACGTGTCCAGGCCACCAACACGACGCTTGTCCCCAGCACGTTCTGTAGCGCGTCCCTTTGGCACGTCTCGCGGTGCGTCCCCGTGGCACATCCCCTGGCACGTCGCCTGGCGCGTCCCTTGGAACGTTCCGCGGCGCTTCTTCCTGGCATGTTTCCTTGTCAATTAGCTCTGCGGCAGCTACTGCGTGGACTATGTACCCAGGCAGCTCGAGCTTAAGATCCAGATCAGTTCGGTCAGGACTCGGATGCAACGGAGGACTCGATCCACAACGCTGTAGAGCACAATCGCGGCATGGCACATCGCAGTTCAGCACGGCGCAGCACAGCACAGCCCTCGGCACATTACATCAATACCGGTACACTCACTCAGCACTGCAATTTGGCATGTTCTTTGGCACGTTCCGTGGCGCGTCCTGTGGCGAGTCCCCCTGGCACCTCGCGCGGCGCGTCCCCTGGCACGTCCCGTGGCACGTCCATAATGCATTGGCACGTTCCGTAGCGCGTCCCCTTGGCAAGTCCCGCGGTGCGTCCCCATGGCACGTCCCCTGGCACGTCGCCTGGCGCGTCCCTTGAAACTTTCGGCGGCGCGTCTTCCTAGCACGCCCCCCGTGAATTAGCTTTGGGGCAGCTACTATGTGCTCAGTCAACTCGAGCTTAAGATCCATATCAGTTCGGTTAGGACTCGGATGCAAAGGAGGACTCGATCCACAACGCTATAGAGCACAATCGTCACGTGGCACATCGCAGTTCAGCACGGCGCAGCACAGCACAGCCCGCGGCACGGTACATCAAGATCGATACATTCATTCAGCATTGCAACTTGGCACGTACTTTGGCACGTTCCGTGGCGCGTCCTGTGGCGAGTCCCCCTGGCACGTCGCGCGGCGCGTCCCCTGGCACGTCCCGTGGCACGCCCATTGGCACGTTCCGTAGCGCGTCCCCTTGGCACGTCCCGCGGTGCGTCCCCGTGGCACGTCCCCTGACAGCTCGCTTGGTGCGTCTCTTGGCACGTCCCGTGGCACGTCCATTGGCACATTCCGTAGCGCGTCCCCTTGGCACGTCCCGCGGTGCGTCCCCATGGCACGTCCCCTGGCACGTCGCCTGGCGCGTCCCTGGGACGTTCTGCGGCGCGTCCTCCTGGCATGTTCCCTTGTCAATCAACTCTGGGGCAGCTACTAGTCATGTGCTTAGGCAGCTCGAGCTTAAGATCCAGATCAGTTTGGTCAGGACTCGGATGCAAAGGAGGACTCGATCCACAACGCTATAGAGCACACTCGTGGCATGGCACATCGCAATTCAGCACGGCACAGCACAGCACAGCCCTCGGCACGGTACATCAAGGTCGATACACTAAGCATTGCATTTGCCCGTCGCCCAATCAGGTGTCTTTGAAACGTTGCCATGTCTTACATTTCTATATTCCTTTCCGGGATCGTGGGTCGATCATGTTTTATTCTTTCCTTGTACCTTCAGTTTCATTTCGTTCGTGCCCCATTGTGCTATCCTTCACTTTTTCGCATTCCGCCCCCCCCCCCCAGGCCACCCCATCCCACCCCAAAAATCTCCACCCCTCCCCGCTCGCATCCCGCATTTCTTCAAAATTATTCCCAGTCCCTCCTCCAGATTCCTCCGTGCGCCTCCCGTTCCTCCGCACTCCTCCTGGTTCCTCTTCTCCACTGTTTGCCGATCCTCCTCCTGAGACTTTCCTCTTGTCCACTCCATCCCAATCCACGCCACGCCCCCGCGCCCCTCTCGACGCGATTGCCAGTCATCCGTATTTTTCCGCCCCGCCCTCCCAACATCCCGCTTCTTTTCAGGGCCCCACGAAATGTGTTTCTGACACCAGTTCGTACCCGCGCGTCCTCCCGCGGGGGTATCCACGATATGTCCTTCCAAAGAGGCGGTGCGCGGCGCTGTTGATGGCGCGACCCATGGCGAAACTGTTTTTAATCGCTTCGCTCACTCCGCCGGCCCATAATGCCGCGCCGTGGTCGCCTGTCCGAGTGGTCGTTTGCAGCGTGGAGTTGCGGCGTCGGGAACAGTGTAATTGTCGATCTATATATTCGTTCCTTCTCCTCATGGGGCTTCTAGGTCTTTGCAGTTTTTTTTTGCGGTTTTGGTGTCATCGTGGGGGCGCGTTACCCGCGGTATCCCGCTGTGGGGCCGTTCGAGCCCGGGGAAAAAACATGTTGCGCGATGGGGGAACCCTCGTGTCGGAGTGTGGCGGGCTTTGAATGTTAACGTTGGCTCTGTTATCGTCCTGATGTCCTTTGGCGTTGCGGGCACGGGCGTGAAGGAACACTTATTTGTGGCGTTTTTCTTACCATATCTTTTCCACTTTGACCCTCCTCCCTATTTTTTCTTTCTTCCCTTCGGTGAGCTAGAGAGAAGGGGGCCGGTAGCAGCGGAGGGAGGCGGCAGTGCGGAGGCAGGAAAAGGACGACGAGGAAGGGGAGCAGGAGGAGCAGGAGGAGGAGGAGGAGGAGGAGGAGGAAAAAAATCAGGAGGCGCAAAAAGGGATTGCATGGTTGCAGTGAGGGAAGGAGGATGATGTAAAGTGACCCGGGGCTTGAGCGGAAAAGGAGAGCCGGAGGGGGGGGGAGGAGGGCCGGAGGGGGGGGGGGAGTGAGATGGGGGCCTCTAAGGACCGAGAGCTCGAAATTCTGTTTCGTGAGCCCCCTCTTGGGGCGTTTTTGAAGCGTTATTGGGGCCCTTTTGGGCCGTCTTGGAGGCCTCTGGGGCCGTCTTGGGGCCGTCTTGGGCCATTTTGGAGCCCTCTTGGGGGCCTCTTGGGCCTTCTTGGGGCGATCTCGGAGGCCTCTTGAGCCGTTTAGGGGCGTCGGGGAACCGAAAAGGGTGAGACGCCCAAATCTGTCCAAAACCTAAGAAACAAACATTGATTTTTGCCTCTTGGGGCCCTCTTGGGAGTGCTCCTGGAGGCCTCTTGGGGCATCTTGGAAGCTTCTTGGGTCATCTCGGCGACGCCTTGGGCCGTCTGGGGGCCATCTTGGGCGTCGTGGAGCGATCTTCGGGCGTCTCGGACCTCTCTTGGACCGTGTTGGGGGCGTTCTTGGGGCCTTCGTGGGCCGTCTTGGAGGCCTCTGGGGCCGTTTTGGAGCCGTCTTGGGGCCCTCTTGAGGGCCTCTTGGGCCCTCTTGGGGCGATCTTGGAGGCCTCTTGAGCCGTTTAGGGGCGCCGGGGAACCGAAAAGGGTGAAATGCCCAAATCCGTCCAAAAGCAAGGGAAAACACAGTTTTTTGCCTCTTGGGGCCCTCTTGAGAGTTCTCTTGGAGGCCTCTTGGGGCATCTTGGAGGCTTCTTGGGCCATTTTGGAGACGTCTTGGGCCGTCCGGAGGCCATCTTGGGCGTCGTTGAGCGATCTTCGGGCGTCTCGGACCTCTCTTGGACCGTGTTGGGGGCGTTCTTGGGGCCCTCTTGGGCCGTCTTGGAGGTTTCTGGGGCCGTCTTGGAGCCGTCTTGGGCCGTCTTGGGGCCCTCTTGAGGGCCTCTTGGGCCCTCTTGGGGCGATCTTGGAGGCCTCTTGAGCCGTTTAGGGGCGTCGGGGAACCGAAAAGGGTGAGACGCCCAAATCTGTCCAAAACCTAAGAAAAAAACATTGATTTTTGCCTCTTGGGGCCCTCTTGGGAGTGCTCCTGGAGGCCTCTTGGGGCATCTTGGAGGCTTGTTGAGTCATCTTGGACCGAGACCTATTGGGCCGTCTGGAGGTCATCTTGGGCGCCGTGGAGCGATCTTCGGGCGTCTCGGACCTCTCTTGGATTGTGTCGGGGGCCTCTTAGGGCCCTCTTGGGGCGATCCTGGAGGATCTGGGGGAGTGTCCCGGGCGTGTCTCGGGCGTGTCCCGGGCTCCTCCCGGGGTACTTTTGATCCAGGGACCCCCAGGGGCCGCCACGCGCGCGCGAAGCAGAAATATTGTTTACCAGTTACCGGAGATCTTAGCACGCCTCTGGCCCGCTGGGCCGGCGAATTGTTCCATGGCGAAACTTATTGTTAACCTTTGTTGGAGTGGTTGACGCAAACTGAATCGCCACTCTCAGCGCAAATCATCGTCCTCACTCATTTTTTTCCTTCCCTCCCTTCCTCTGACCCCTTCGTCCTCGTTATCCCCCGTTATCTGTTGCCCTTCGTTTTCAAGGGGTTCGCCAACCACGTGTGGCAGGGAATGAATCTACGCCCCAAAAGGGGGTACGATCGAAGACGAAGAGGGCGGGTATCCAGGGTTGGGGATATGCACGTCGAGTGGCACGCGAGCAGATACGAGCGAACAGTCTTCAACTTATTGTTGTTGTGGTTGTGGTTGGGGTTGTTGGTGTTGTTGCTTCTGCTGTTGTTGTTGCTTTTGGTCAGGACGTGCTGCTAGTGCCCAGGGGGGGTGCGCCGGGAGGTGGGGGGGGGGGGGGGCGCAACGCAACCGCGCACCGCTCGAGCGCGAGCGCGGTTGCGCGCGAAGCCCCGCTTTGAAGAAACAGCGCCCCGCGTTCCTCTCCTCTCCTCTCCTCGTCGTCGTCGTCCTCCTCTTCCTCCTCCTCCTCCTCCTCCTCCTCCTCCTCCTCCCCTCCCATCACCATCATCATCATCATCATCATCATCATCATCATCATCATCATCATCATCATCATCATCATCCCCTCCCTCTCCCTACACCATCGTCACCATCATCACCGTCGCCCATCATTCATCGGCGTCATCATTTGCAGCATCATCCTCGTCCACATCCTCCCCATCAGCGTCACCATCATCGCCCCCACCGCCCATGTCGTCACACCCCTCACACGTTTCGTGGCCCCACAGGGGACCCCACCTAAGGCCACATTCGCGGTGCTCGCATGCGTCTTTCTCACCCAGGTCAGCGTCGCGTGGCCCCATAGGGAGCTCCACCGAAGGCCCCACTGGGGGTGTTCGCATGCGTCTCCCCCACCAAGGACAGCGTCTCGTGGCCCCATAAGGAGGTCCACCGAAGGCCCTACTGGGGGTGTTCGCGTGCGTTTCCCCCACCCCGGACAGCGTGTTGTGGCCCCATAGGGAGTTCCACCGAAGGCCAGAGTCGGGGTGTTCGCATGCGTCTCCCCCGCCCAGGACAGCGTCTCGTGGCCCCATGGGGAGCTCCACCGACGGCCCCACTGGGGGTGCTCGCATGCGTTTCCCCTACCCAGGACAGCGCTTCGTGGTCCCACTTCACCGAAGGCCCCAGTGGGGGTGTTTGCAGGCGTCCCCCCCGCCCAGGACAGCGCTTCGCGGCCCCAGGGAACTTCACCGGAGGCTTCAATTGGGGTGTTCGCATGCGTGTCCCCCGCCCAGGACAGTGCTTCGTGGGGTTTTCGCATGCGTCTCCCCCGCCCAGGACAGCGTGTTGTGGCCCCATAGGGAGCTCCACCGAAGTCCCCATTGGGGGTGTTCGCGTGCGTCCTCCACCCAGGACAGCGTTTCGTGGTCCCATTGTGAGCTTCACCGACGGCCCCAGTTGGGGTGTTCGCATGCGTCTCCCCCACCCACGACAGTATTTCGCGGCCCCAGGGAACTTCACCGAAGGCTTCAATCGGGTTCTTCGCATGCGTCTCCCCCGCCCAGGACAGCGCTTCGTGGCCCCATAGGAAGCTCCACCGAAGGCCCCATTGAGGGTGCCTCCCCCGCCCAGGACAGCGCTTCGTGTCCCCATAGAGAGGTCCACCGAAAGCCCCATTGAGGGTGTTTGCAGGCGTCTCCCCCGCCCAGGACAGCGTTTCATGGCCCCGTAGGGAGCTCCACCCAAGGCCCCACTGGTGGTGTTCGCATGCGTCTCCCCCGCGCAGGACAGCGCTTCGTGGCCCCATAGGGAGCTCCACCGAAGGTCCCCGTGGGGGTGTTCGCATGCGTCTCCACCACACAGGACAGCGTTTCGTGGCCCCATAGGGAGCTCCACCGAAAACCCCAGTGGGGGTGTTCGTATGCATCTCCCCCACCCAGGACAGTATTTCGTGGCCCCATAAGGAGGTCCACCGACGGCCCCACTGAGGGTGTTCGCATGCGCTTCCCCCACCCAGGGCAGCGTGTTGTGGCCCCATAGGGAACTCCACCGAAGGTCCCCGTGGCGCCGCTGTCCGCATGCGTCTCCCTCACCCAGGACAGCGCTTCGTGGCCCCATATGGAACCCCACCGAAGGTCCCCGTGGCGCAGTCCGCATTGTGTTGTTCGTTCTCGTTCGCGTTTGTACAATGCCACTCATTTCGGCACACCCCTAGCACGGTTCGTTGCCTCATAGGGATCACCACCGAAAAAATGAATCACAATTGCGGTATTCACACGTGCATATGGTTGGGTCCTTCGTCAGGCTAGTTCCAGCGGGGGGTTGCGGTAGTTTGCAGTTTTGCTAATGGCGTTTCTTCTTTTTCCTGTTTCACGCGGGTTCAGGGCTGGAGGCCTACGGGACGCCCAAGCGGATCAATATGTAGTCCGGCATCCCCAGGACGCCTCCCGGGACCCCGCCCCAGGATCCCTTTGGACCCTTCTCCAAGACCCCCCCTCCGGGACCCTCCCCTTCGCCACCCTCCCCTCCAAGGAAAAATCACGCGGAAGGGCCTCCATTCGAATCAATTGCGACGTGGTGATGACATCTCAGACGAAATACCCGACCTGTCCTAACAGGAGGCTTCTGGTCCCCAGAAATAAGTAGCGTTCAGTTGGCGACGCGCCCTGCGGGGCCTTGAATTCGTGTCTGCTAGCCCATAGCATATATGATATCCTGTACAAGGGACTTTTATAGAAAAGGAAATTGGGGCCACTGCAATTCTTGCCTCGAGACGCGTTTCGATAGGGGATTGGCGCAACCATGTGCGTTGGACGGCCTGCTGCCGATTCTCATGGTGCAGGGAGTTGTACATTCCTATTTCGCGTTTAAGGGACACATGTTATGGCGCCTTCACTATTGCAGAGGAGAATTCCCCAGCTGTGTTTCCCCTTCTTTCGCTTTGCAATTCTATTTGTGCGTTAACGAAGAACCAGTCGGTGCCGGGCGTGGTCGTCGCGGTCTTCCTCCGGGTTGTTTGGCTTTGTTTCTTTACAAGAGCCTTTCTTGGGGGGGTGGGGCTGATTTTGTTTCCTTACAAGGGTCTTGGGTTCTCTAATATTGCTCCTTGCCTTCCTCGGGTTCCCAGTTTTGTTGCTCGGATTTCGTACTTTTGTGTTTGGGTTCCCCAGGTTCCCTGGTCTTGTTCCTTGTTTGGGTTCCTCGGATCATCCGGTCTTGTTCCTCCATATTCGTTGCGTTGCAACGCATTGCCAAGTAACGCCAAGCAATGCAAAGCAATCCCGAGCCCTCCTCGTCCTCCTCCCGCCCTTCTCCCGCCAACTTCTTCCCCCTCCCTCCTCTTTCTCCTCTCGTCCTCTTCCTCCTCCTCCTCCTTCTCCTCCTCCTGTAACGCTGCTTAGCCTACCGCCTGCCTCATCATTCAGGGTGATCAGGCCGATTGTTGACACTGCTTCCTGGCGCTGGAGCGCGCACTCTACCCAGCTGCCTTTTAGACCTCGGGAGCATATTGGCGATTGGGCCCTGGCAACTCCTGAATCTGCACTGCGTCGTGACCGTGCACGCGCCCGCCGCCCTGGCAGCACGAAGTCGGCCGGGAGTGGCTGTCGTAGTGTCGTAGTTTTGTTCTCCCCTCGGTCTGGGTAGGGGCTGCGGCGCGCAGGCCGGGTGTTTCTCTTGGTCGCATGCCGTTACGGGCGATTTCATTGCGCCACGTTTTTGGCAGATGCGTATCAGGAGTAATCCCAAGCAATGCCTAGCAACGCTAACCAATGCAAAGCAATGCAGCCCATTGGCAAGAAAATGCCTGGCAACGCCGATCAACGAGCCGAGCCCATGCAATAGGAAGCTTACTCCCCATTGCGGGTTCATTTGATTTAGGGGGCGAGGTGAGGCGCGTGGAAGAGAGGATTTTGAATCATGCCTTGCATTACAGTTGTGTGCGATATTTTGCGCGTTATGTTCGGTGTGCTTCCTCATCTCGTCTCCTGTGCTCCGCCCCTCGTTCTGCTGTTCCTCGTTCTCCTTCCTCTGAGGCTGTCACTTTGAGCTGGAGTGAGACGACTGGGGGCAGCCTAACATTTGGCACGTCGCTGTTCTCACGGTAAATGTGCATCGAGTTTGTGTTGATTTGTTGTATCATTGTTCTTCCTCCTCCTGCCTTTCTAAAATGAAGGCCACACGTGGCCAAGGCATCTCACTTGGCCAAGTAGTCTCTAGCTCAGGCCGCCCTGCTCAGGAACACATCGCAAGAGGCTGGAATGGCGGAGGGCCAGACAGGACTGGACATCAAACCAAGCTGCGAAGCAGGGGTCAACCCAGGCGGGGACTCCTCGCAACATTCCTCCGCCCGATCAGGGGAAATTGTCGACGATGTGGACGAGGGTGTGAAAGCCCAGTGCGGGTCAATAGCCGACACGCCGATACATGATGGTGATTGGGACTTTTCGCCGAAGCCCAGCAAGATGAAGCAGACTGCCAGGGGGCCGAGCCCAAGCGCCAAGGAAGCCCAGACCTCCGCCACGAGCCCATCTCTCAACCAGCTGATCGAAGAGTACAAGCAGAACAACGGCATCTTGGACTACGAGGTCGTCCACGACGGCGTCCACGTTTTTCACGCCGAGTGGGACACCGAAGGCGTGTATTTCTACCAGGCCTTCTCCGACGAGATCGCCGACTATGCCCTGCAGCACCAGCGGTTCGGCGGACCTATGTTCAACCCCACGCGCATGACGTGGATCAAGCCGAGCTTCGCGTGGGTGCTGTACCGCAGCGGGTACGGTTGGAAGGACAAGAAGCAGAGCCGAGTCTTGAAGACCAAGTTGTCGCACTCGGCCGTCGCAAAGCTCCTGACCCGGTGCCAGTGCAAGCACGCGGGTGGGGGAAGCAAGGGGCGCGTGCAGTGGGACCCAGAGCGTGACCTGTTCTCTGGGGACGGTGCGCACGGTCGCCACGAGCCGAGGAAGATGCTCAGGCTGCGCAGTATTCAGATCGGTCTGTCGCGGGACTTGTCGCAATTCTACGTGGACAGCACGATTTCCATTCAGGACGTCACAGAATTGGCGAACAGGGTGGGCGAGGCGCACGCAACCAAAGTTCACAAGACTACAAGCAGCCTGGAGTTGATGGAAGCATTGCTGCCTTCGCTGCCGGTCGAGCGACCCTACCTGCCTTGTTGCTTGGACAAGACGCTCGTCAGACTAATGATGGCTTGGCCCGACGACCCAGCGGAGAAGGCCGCCCTGATCAATGAGAGAGAGTGCGCAGAGGAGGGACGGAGGCGAGGAGGTGCCGGAAGAAAACGGTGATGGTCACAGTCGCCGCCGCCTTCTTGAGCGGCTAAGGGCCGGCGCTCTCACACTTCCATCGCTCGGCTACACGTAAGAGTGACCTTTCGCCAAAGTGACCTTTGGTGCGGGCATACTGGGGTCCCAGGTGGCTGAATGCGATCCGATCAGCAGCGGGTCGCGCGCTCGAATTTGTCCCCCTGCGCCCCCCTAACGCCGCGTACCAGAGGTTACTCTTGTCTAGGGCCACTCTTGCGTGTAGCTGAGTCGCATCACACCTCCGATGTCTGGCACAAGCGGCGCAAGACTCTCAGAGCTGCTGCAGGCTCGCGCCGCGTCGACGCGGCGGCGATCCAGTTGCGGGCGTCCATCGTTCAAGCGCCACGGGCGATCTGCGCCGTCAGACTGCCGGGATGGTTTAGTCAACGCGGTGTCGCACATTAACGAGCAGGTCGTCACGGCATGGGCCTGCCGCAGCCCGTCCGTGCGGATAAGATTTGTATCCGTACCCATTGTTTTTTGGATGTTCGGCCCCCCTCCCCCAGTAACCCGAGGCTCGATGGGTATGGACAAAAATCCCTATCCACTGCGCCTCTCGGCCCTTTGGTGCCCCTTCCCAGAAAGCCCAAGACGCAGTGGACTTGGGTACAAGTCGTGCCCGCAGACCGAGTCTTGTCCGCAGACCGAGCCGAGGCAGACAGGCGCCCTCCGCAGGCTCGCTTGCGCGCGCCTGCGCGCCCGCGGAGCCGCGCTCTCCACGCGCGGGGAGCGCATTTCAGGATGCGGCTCGGGGGGGTCACGGTCAGAATCGTTGCTGGCAGACCCCTGTTCGGATGTTGACCTGATCTGGCTTAATTCGTTCAGTCTGGCGCAATCCCGCTCAATCCAGCTGAATCCCGTTTACTCCTGTTTAATCCCGGGCTTCATCCGACATCATGTGGCTCAATCGCTGTATAATCGGGTTTACTGGCCCTCAGTTGTTCTGTCGAAGACCTCCCGGGAGTTGCCTCCTCACATGGCTAATATCCATACCCACGGCTTCACCGAGGGCCCCTAGGCCGCGACCCCATGGATTCGGGAGGTTTTTTCGCGGATGCCCCGTGCGGAACGTATCCATGCGAACGCGTATCCACGGGATCGCGCCCCAGAATCCAGACGGCGAGGGCATGGATATGGACATGTTCGCCGCCTGTGAGCTCCGCTCCGGTGAGTCTCCCGACGCCTGGCGATGTTACAGTCCGCGTCGGGTTTCGGTGCAATGAGCTGCCGGAAAACCATCCTGTCAAGAATGCCTCGTGCCGACGGCAAGGGGGGCAATACATCTAGGGAGATCTAGGATTGCAGGCAAGGTGCTCTAAATGGCCCCTAAACTGCCACCGCGGGCCCAAAAGGAGGACGAAAGGTGCACTTTTCTTCACCCCGCCTTCGTTGCCCCCCCCCCGTTAACGAACACCCGAATGTCGGGGTGCAGTGTCGACGTACTCGTTTGGGAGGTGCGTGCTGGGCGCAGCCCGCGGGTCTGGCCAGGAGAGGCCCCAGGAGGGGTGCAGCGAACTTGGGGTGGCAACGCGAAGAAGAGGGGCCCCTGATGGAAAGGGCCCCCGAGGTTTTTTACGGGCGCAGCCCGTAATTTGATTCTCGCGAGGTAGACACTGACAGACTGAACTGAACCACCAGGCCGTTAGATGGCAGTTTTATTTCCGCGAGTGAGGATATTTCGGGTGGCAGTTTTAAGCCAGCTGGTGAGCATATTTCGGTGGCAGTTTTAAGCCAGCGGGTGAGAGGATATTTCGGTGGCAGTTTTAAGCGCCAGCGGGTGAGGATGTTTCGGTGGCAGTTTTAAGCCAGCGGGTGAGGATATCTCGGGTGAGGATATTTCGGTGGCAGTTTTACGCCAGCGGGTGAGGATATTTCGGGTGGCAGGTTTAAGCCAGCGGGTGAGGATATCTCGCGTGGCAGTTTTAAGCCAGCGGGTGAAGATATTTCGGATGAGGATATTTCGGGTGGCAGTTTTAAGCCAGCGGGTGAGGATATCTCGGGTGGCAGGTTTAAGCCAGCGGGTGAGGATATCTCGGGTGGCAGTTTTAAGCCAGCGGGTGAGGATATCTCGGGTGGCAGTTTTAAGCCAGCGGGTGAGAATATTTGGGTGGCAGTTTTAAGCCAGCGGGTGAGGATATTTCGGGTGGCAGTTTTAAGCCAGCTGGTGAGCATATTTCGGTGGCAGTTTTAAGCCAGCGGGTGAGGATATTTCGGTGGCAGTTTTAAGCGCCAGCGGGTGAGGATGTTTCGGTGGCAGTTTTAAGCCAGCGGGTGAGGATATCTCGGGTGAGGATATTTCGGTGGCAGTTTTACGCCAGCGGGTGAGGATATTTCGGGTGGCAGTTTTACGCCAGCGGGTGAGGATATCTCGCGTGGCAGTTTTAAGCCAGCGGGTGAAGATATTTCGGATGAGGATATTTCGGGTGGCAGTTTTAAGCCAGCGGGTGAGGATATCTCGGGTGGCAGGTTTAAGCCAGCGGGTGAGGATATCTCGGGTGGCAGTTTTAAGCCAGCGGGTGAGGATATCTCGGGTGGCAGTTTTAAGCCAGCGGGTGAGGATATTTCGGTGGAAGTTTTAAGCCAGCGGGTGAGGATATCTCGGGTGAGGATATTTTGGTGGCAGTTTTAAGCCAACGGCTGAGGATATTTAGGGTGGCAGTTTTAAGCCAGCGGGTGAGGATATTTCGCGTGGCAGTTTTAAGCCAGCGGGTGAGAGGATATTTCGGGTGGCAGTTTTAAGCGCCAGCGGTTGAGGATGTTTCGGTGGCAGTTTTAAGCCAGCGGGTGAGCATATCTCGGGTGAGGATATTTCGGTGGCAGTTTTACGCCAGCGGGTGAGGATATTTCGCGTGGCAGTTTTACGCCAGCGGGTGAGGATATCTCGCGTGGCAGTTTTAAGCCAGCGGGTGAAGATATTTCGGATGAGGATATTTCGGGTGGCAGTTTTATGCCAGCGGGTGAGGATATCTCGGGTGGCAGGTTTAAGCCAGCGGGTGAGGATATCTCGGGTGGCAGTTTTAAGCCAGCGGGTGAGGATATCTCGGGTGGCAGTTTTAAGCCAGCGGGTGAGGATATTTCGGTGGAAGTTTTAAGCCAGCGGGTGAGGATATCTCGGGTGAGGATATTTTGGTGGCAGTTTTAAGCCAACGGGTGAGGATATTTCGGGTGGCAGTTTTAAGCCAGCGGGTGAGGATATTTCGCGTGGCAGTTTTAAGCCAGCGGGTGAGGATATCTCGGGTGGCAGTTTTAAGCCAGCGGGTGAGGATATTTCGGTGGCAGTTTTAAGCCAGCGGGTGAGGATATTTCGGTGGCAGTTTTAAGCCAGCGGGTGAGGATATCTCGGGTGGCAGTTTTAGGCCAGCGGGTGAGTATATCTCGAGTGAGGATATTTCGGTGGCAGTTTTAAGCCAGCGGGTGAGGATATTTCGGGTGGCAGTTTTAAGCCACGATGCACAAGTCCCAGGGCATGACAATTCCTTGTGTTGCTGCAAACTTGGGCGACACGGAAATGCATCTGGGCGGTACGTTTACCGTCTTGTCTCGGGTGCCTGCCTTGACTGGTCTTGCTTTGGAACGTGGCTTGAATTTCGACCGGTTGGCCAAGATCAACCAGAGCCGGTCTTTGTTGGCACGGAAAGAATACGAAGCTGCGAAATGGCCACCGCTCGAAGCCAATGCGCTTCGACATTTTCAGTCGGTCCTTGCAGAGCTGTTGCTGAAACGGGAGTCTCCCGAAGCAGCTGTGCTGGACACGATCGGCGGCTTGGCCGAAACAGCAGCTGAGCAATTGTCACTGGCTGACTTCACTGCGGAACTGTGAGCACTTTCGAGGGTGGAAACGCTGCGCAATCATCGTGGCGGCGACGGCCGGTGCCATTTCTACCATAATTTCTACCGGGAGAGTGCGGAAGGGCTCTCGCACGGGGGCGGCTTGTGCAGTTTGAGCAGAGATGGCACCCACGACGAAGAGGAGGGGGCAGGAGCAGGAGGAGGAGGAGGAGGAGCAGGATGATGATGATGATGATGATGATGATGATGATGATGATGATGATGATGATGATGATGATGATGATGATGATGATGATGATGATGATGATGATGATGATGATCATGATGACCATGATGATCATGGTGCTGATGCTGAGGAGGACGATGATGATGATGAGGATGAGGATGAGGATGAGGATGAGGATGAGGATGAGGATGATGACGATGAGGATTATGACGGCGGGGATGAGGCGATGGAAGGAGGACGAGGGAGGAGGAGGGGTGGAAGGAGGGCACGGAGATCGTGGAAAGGGTGCTCGCAAGGAGAGTGGCAAGGGGAAGAGGAAGGCGCTGGACGAGGAGGCCGACGAGGAGGAAGGAGGCGGAGGACAAGGCAAGAGGCGGCGGGAGGAGGATTTCATTGAAAATGGACGACGGGGGGGGGAGATCAGCTCGAGGGCGGAGGACGCGGACGGGATGAGGAGGCGGCAGAAGGGAGGAGGAGGTGGAAGTGGAGGAGTCGTAGGAGGAGGAGGAGGAGGTGGAAGAGGAGGAGGAGGAGGAAGAGGAGGGAGGAACCGAGAAGAGCTCTGTGCTCGGCGCGGGCATCCAGCCGCCACGCGATGCATCATCTGCATGGTCGGCCCAGCCGACGGCTACGCCTCCAGCGAGGTGCTGCGCCCGTATATATGCTCGCCCCTTGGCGTGGGGCTGGCGGGGGGCCAAGGGGCGAGCTGTCCGGTGATTAACAGCTTTCGGCCTCATGGGCCCCTCTCTGGAACGTCGAGAGGGACGTATCCGAGCGAAGAGTCGGTCTGGGAGGAAGTGCTCGGGACCCCGTCCTTTTGTGGAGAGCCCCAGGGTCTCTGAGTGTGTGAGTGTGTGGTGTGGCCCGCTGTATAACAATGACGCAATGTGTTCAGCACAGCTGCAGTGGTCACGAGGGGAGTACCGTTGATCAGATAGTTCGCAGAGGAGCACTGGTGTTCGCACTTCGCGGTCTGAGCCGCAGAGTTGCTCTTCTCCAGTGTTGGGCGCTCCGTGTTAGCGAAGATGACCATGCTTCGCGCGCAGCCGCGCTTCGCGCGGCGCGACGCGCAAAGTTAGCGAAACATCGAATCAGGCACACGAGTCACATGAAACACGCCCTTTTGAAAAGTCGCGCCGCCTAGGGCCACCACTTTGGTGCACGTATCTGTTCCGCGTAAGGTTGCGCGTGAGCGTTCTGTCTTCCATTTGGCGTGTCACGCTGGCGACCCGCGTAAGCCACGGCGTCAGGTCGCTATGTCATCATGCGTAAGACCTGTTTCCGTCGCCCACATGGGTCGAGGAACAACAATTGCATCGACGTGAACTTTCGGCGCTGCCACATTAGACCACCCTCCCTGGCGCGCAGAGCGTGCCAGGGGGGGTCGGCACATATCCAAGGAATATCCGCGGACCTCCTTTAAGTGAATGTTTGTGTTGCTGTGGGCTCTCGAGGGGGTGGGCGGGGCCTGCTGCTGCGCTCGGGCCAGCTGGCTTGACTCCTTCTCCTGCCGCGTCCCTCCAGCCTATTCCGAGCCCCAGAGCATGATGATCTGAAGGCCTCGCGCGAGCTCCTGGAGCAGATAGGTACGGCTTCGGGATGCGCACGGAGAGCCCCCCCTGTTTGTCCTGGTTGGCCCCAACAGGCTCCCCGAGTGGTCCGCGGCGGTCTCAGCATCTCAAGTCAGGGGCGCGGAGCGCTCCAGAGGCGCCGCTGGAGGCGGCGCCAGGGTGTCGAGACCGCAGCGGACTGCTCGCGGGTTGGGGCCAGCTGGGACTACCCGGGGAGGCTGTCTGTGCGCAATCCATTTACCATGGGGGACAGTTTGCGTTCCTCCACGCTTCGCCGTCGTCGTCGTCGTCGTCGTCGTCGTCGTCGTGGTGGTCGTCGTCCCCGTCGCCCGTCGCCCGTCGCCCGTCGCCCGTGCTCGCCCGCGGAACGCGAGGAGCGGCTGTGCGACTCACAGGCTGGCGGACTGCTGGGCATAGGGGTGAAGGGGTGCTCTGCGGCCAGCCTTGCAGCGCGATCGGTCGACATGGGTACGGAAACGATGGGTACGAACACGACGTAGTAAATTTGAGACAGACGGCCGCATGCTCAACAACGGCCGCTGTCGCTGTTCGGACATCATGTTTGTTGGGCGACCCATTCATTTCGAAACGCTCAATTTGAGCCAATCTTCTTTCGTTACGGCCACCGCCTTCACCGCCGTCTCTCCTAATCGTAGGAGGTTTTTAATCTGGCATCCCCCCCTGCTTCTCTCGGCGGGGAACAAACTCCGCCCCTCCGTTCTCATCTTCCTCCTGCTCCCCCTCTCTCCTCCTCCTGATCTGTCTCCTCCTCGTCCTCCTGCTCATCCTCGTGGTCGTTATCGTAGTCGTCGTAGTCGTCGTTGTCGTCGTTGTTGCGGCGGATATAGTTTTGCCCTCCATTGTTGGCCGGCCTGGGTAATGTTCGGGGGGTCGTTTTTCCCAGGGAATCATCCATTGTGGGCTACCCTGCACGCGAGATGATTTGCGAGCATCTTCTTACGAGGATTGCAAAAGAAGTTTGTGGTTGTGGTTGTAGTTGTGAGTGTGGTAGTGGTTGTAATCGTGCTGGTAGTCGTGATTGTAATTGCGATTGTAGTCGTCGTCGTCGTCGTTGTCGTCGTGGTCGTTTGTCGTCGTCGTGGCGGCGGACATTCATTTCCCACGAATGTTCGCCGCGCGGGATAATCTTCGGGCCACCCTGCACTACAAAGAGAGTTTGAGCAAGTTTGTAATATGATTGTAATGTAAATCTACACATGTTTCGTGGAAAGCGTTGCTCCCAATCTACTACTCGTAGTCGTAACCGCAGCCGTAGCCGTAGTCGTACCGTGGTCGCAGTCATAATCGTAGTCGTAGTCGTCCTCGTCATCGTTGTTGTGCAGCGGGTGCCGCGGAGAAATTATCTTCAAGTATTGATGGGACCCCAAACCGTCAATCAGGTCGCCCCCAGATAGTTCGTTTCAGCTATCGGGGGGGGTTCTAAAGACCTATCCCGGTTAGAAGCCGGCTGAGGGGCTGAGGTGGCTCAGCAGTGGTCCCGGTTTCAGAAGAGGGGGAGGTAGGGGCCCCCCTTTTCGCCACGGCTGGGCGCCGACCTTCTTTATGCCACCGTCTCCCCCACCTCATTCCCCTGACCATCTTCCCTGCGAAGTTTCTAGAAAGGCGGCGCTCTACCACGAAAAAACAGTCGGAGCCCGCTTGGACCACACTTCAGTCTCCCGGCTCTTTTCCGTGAGCAGTGCTTGTCACATAGGTGTGGGGACGGCATCGCTCGGCCTCCTCGTCAGAGTCGCCACGGCATCCTGAATGACCAAGACCCGCCGTTGGGGTGAAGCGCGCCGCGCTCGGCTGGCACGCTGCAGGGTGCGAGGCGGAAGCGATTGGAAAGGTGGAAGGGCGGCGGTCTTGGGAGCGCGGGGATATGGACGCACGGCGTGCGGCAGGTTCGTGCCAAGATGATTGGACTGTGACCCCAAGGTGGCGTTCAGGATTGATCCTCTAATCTCCACCACTTCTCATACACATCGTATACATCGATATTGACCGAACAGATGTGTGCAATAACTGATGTATGATGTAGCACGATCTCTCCTCCCCTCAGGCTCCTCGTTTGCACATATATATATGTACATACACACATCTATGTCGGAGTAGGCGGGTGGGGGCAGGCCTCTGCCTGTACCCTCCATGGGCGCCTCCCAGGGGTTCTTGGGTGGGGGACCCCGAGGCGGCCCCGGCCCGCCCCGAAACAGGCCACGACAGGCTAATGGGGGTCCCAAGAGGGCCCAAGGCGGTCCCAAGAGGCCCCGAATACGCCCAGGATGCCCTCAAGACGGCCGACGAGGATTCCAACACGCTCCAACACGCTCCAGGACGGACTCAAGAGGCTCCCTAAGAGGGCCTTGGGAGGCACATTCGTAAATTGTCCGTTGCCTTTGAAGGATTTTGGCGTTATCGTTTTTCACGCTTCCCAGCGCTCCCGCACGGCCTCGGAGGCCCTTCAGATCGATCCAAGACGGCCCATGAGGCCCCGAAGAGGGCCCAAGACGGCCCAGAAGACTCCCAAGACAACCCAAGTGTGCCCCAAGAGCGCCCCAAGAGGCGGCCTAGAGGGGGACCGCGAAACGATCTCTGGCCCTAGAGGCCCCCAGTAGGCCCCACGAGGCCACCAAGAGGCTCCCACGAAGCCCCGTGAGGGGCTCAAGAGGCCCCCAGGAAGCCACAAGAGGCCCCCAAGAGTCCCCCAGGGAACGCCCACGAGGCCCCCCAACACACCCCATCAAATCATGCCCCCAGAATGCCTTCGGGGACATGGTTCATCATGGGCCCGAGAGTGTCTGGAGGCTCCGAAGTACCATCACGCTACCGGAGATCTACCGGTATTGGGAACATGACTGATCGCCTTCTCGCGGCATTGGCTCCGTATCAATTGAATTCATATTTGAGGAATGATGTTGTTGAGGTATGCTGAGTAGAACGATGGTACAGGTGAAGGAGCTGTGGATGAACATGAAGACGATAAGACGATTCTACATGAGATGTATGATCTCTGGGGGTGGCAAGAGAGAGGGGGGGGATGAGTAGGAAAACGGGAGGAGAAGGGGGAGGAGCAGAAGTAGGAGGAGGAGGAGGAGGGCCACCGAACCGTGCTATTCATTGGTTTGTGTTTTGGTTGTTTTGTCAGAAATACCACCAAACCATGCTATTCACACGTTTGTTGTGTGCTCTTTCTTGTTCTCAGGAAATTCGCAACAATTTGGCGGCCAAAGGCTTCCGACCGTCTGAACACCCAAGACGACGTGTCAATAGCAGCGTTTCCATGCCCGAAAGGGTCAAACATCTTGTAAATAGCATGATCTTGCCACAACCTCACCAAACACTTGGTACTCACAGTTTTTTGTTTGGTCTGCACGCGTTCCACAAGACCTCCTGTTCAAGCCTGTGGAGTTCACGCAAAGCCAAACATCTAAACAAACACGATACTAGCAGTGTGCGATGGCTTCCTTAACCAACAAACGAAGACACATATGGATAATATGGTTTGGTGGCCAGACTCTTGCCGCAAATCTTCCTGGCGAAGGAGGAGGGGGAAGAGGAGGAGGAGGATGTACAGAGAGACAGAGGGACAGGGGGTGAGAGACAGAGAGTGTGAGCACAGAGAGAGCGAGAGCGAGGAAGAGAGAGAGGGAGAGAGCACGCAACGATTGGGGTAGGTGTGATGCTGGGGGAAGCAGAGCGTCTATATGTAGATGTGCTTATGTGTATATATACATACATGTACATATTCTCATGCGCGCCTCCGAGGAAGCAGTTCTCAGAAGCGATTATTAACCCGTCCACAATATGTGTGGCTGTTTCGCCCGGGGCAATCTCAACATTCTGCAAACCGGGCGCACCACTCACGCAGGTCGCGACGTCACGGTCCAATACACAGCATTGTTCAGACATGCCAGCATAAAACCGTCGAACACAGTACATCTTAATGAGTCTTGTCACGGTTCTTGCAAAAGGCAGTTTCGATGGAAATGTCTGCGTACATCCGAGCCCCGACGTACACATAATACAGAACAGAGCACACACAACGCACAACCCACAAAACACAGAACACAGAACGCACACAACATACATGCACCATTCACAGCCCACACACCATACAGAACACGTACACACATTCACATCACGTACCCAGCACGGTCACATTACACATTCATCACACACAGCACGCAACACACATTTCACACCACACAATCGATACAATACACAACACGAGCACACCACACGACACGTTTTGCACACAACACAAGGCCCCCCCACACTAACACACACACACACACACTCACGCACGTCACACACAACACAGACAACGCTCACACATATGACATTGTAATTTGTCCCGTGAGGCTAGGCGCGCCCCTGTCACCTCTAGATTGGTGTACAGGCGCATGCATCGTAAATGTGTTCATGTACAGTGTACTGTTATAGAAAAAGGGTTCAGGCATCGATTTCTTACATCTGTTCTAAGGAACTGGGCCTGAGTGTCGGTCTGGCGGCTATGTTGCCGCCGTCGCCGCACCGTCGCCGCCTCGTGACCGCCCGTTGTCTGGGCCTGATTGTCGGTCAGGCGGCTATGTTGTCGCCGTCGCCGCCTCGTGGCCGCCCGTCGTCTGGGCCTGATTGTCATGGCGGTTATGTAGTCGCCGTCGCCGTCCCGTTGTCGCCAAAATCGCACGGGGTACATTGCACAGCATATGTTGCACCACCTAGGTTGCACGACATCTATTCCCCTTCTGAAAGAGTGTTCGGATCTGATTTCCCCCCCAGAATTGACGGAACCCATTTTCGCATTCCAATGTACATATGATTATGCCCCATCGTCCATCCGAAATACAGATTCACATCATCCCAGCTAAACCGTACCCCCCTCATTTTCTGCAAAAGTACAAGGCGCACATTCGTTTCTTAAAATATCAGTTGTTTTCCAGAACCCTCTGTAACGCATGACGAAGTGCACGCGCGCGAAGGCCGCACGCCTTCACATAATCAAGGCCCCGTAAGGATTCCAATATCGCGTGTCCCGAGAGGATAACAGATGATCGAGAATTCAACCCGGGAATTCGCTCCAAACCCGGAATTGTCTGAGTCGAAGCTTGGCTCGGAGCGGACACGCGAAACCTGTAATTCTTTGCCAAACCCGGGAATCCGTTTCGGAGCGAAACCCGGAATTCTTGCAGGCGCGGAATAATGGAATTCTTTGGAATGGAAGGTGGGATGAGATAGAGAGAGAAAGAGAGAGAGAACGACCTGGTAATGGACCCGAAGCACGATGGTGTGAACAAATTGGGGCGGCTTGCGTCGTTGTCGACGCGACCCGTCGGTTGTCGACGTTGCGTTTGTTGTTGTGGTTGTCGGTTGTCCGCGTTGTCTGATTCGTCGT